GGGGCAAAAACTTGAAGTGCATCTATTTAAACAGGGACTAAAGTTTCACAGCAAATGATTTGTAATAAATTTGATTATAACCCTAGCTTTAAAAATGGAACTAAAAATTACACGTATAAATTTTTTTTTTGTTTCATAGTTAATGAAATGTAGATTATAATTACAACAATGAGCTAATTTCTAGAACGAATGACTCAGATTTGATTGCAGGGTTTGGGGCATGTTTTTCCTGACAACGTTCTTTGGACTAGAGGGCTCTGTCAGTTTTTCTAAGGGACTCTGAGCATTTTGATAGGCAAAGAGTTCTCTTTACATGATGTAGCATTTTATTGTCAATATACTCCTTTTGAGGACAGATTAGGAATGAACAAGTCTAATGGTTGTTTTTTAACTTGAATTTAAACTTTATATAGCTTTAAAAAAAAATTCCACATATCATTTCTATTTCTGGCAGTATGGTAGACTGGATAGCCCCCAAAGCCTTCCCTCTCCACAACATGTTTAGAAATTCTGCACAAAATATAAAAAGCTCCCCTTTAAGTATAAAGCTAGCTCTGGAGAATAAAGGCAGCTCCCAGGGGAAGAAATGGAAGAATACTGCAAATTCCATAGACAGGGCAGATGGCTGAATCAGAGACCCTTTTGAAGGGCATGGATGGGCCCTCAAAGGGTCACCCTCAGTGAAAGGTGGGCTTGGAAAAAACCCACCTGGGACATAGTGAGATCTCTAGTCTGTCTTCCAAAGTTTGGGTGGTGGGATGGTGGAAATTTGCAGAAAGATATTTTGGGTTGTTTCTTTTCAGACACACACACACACACACACACACACACACACACACACACACACACGCTCCAAAATGGTTCCTGTTATTCGGTAACTTAATTTGTCCTAAGAGATCTTTCAGTGTGTGTGACCTATTCATTTATCTCATTTTTTAAAAGCTGCTTAATCTGAAATTATAAAACCACCCTACACTTCTATTGTCCTTATTTTGCTTTACTTTTCTATTGAACTTACCACTTTCTAATGTACTCAATATTTATCCATTATATTCATTTTGTTTCCTCCCAGGAGTTGGGGAACTTCCAGGGGGCAACAATCTGTGTTGGGTTTGTTGACTAATACATCCCATTTGCTTAGAACAGAGCCTATCACACAGGAGATTCTTATTAAGTATCTGGTGAATGAATTGAATTCATGAATGAGCTGTACTTCAGCTAATTCCCCAGGGACTTATAAGTTTTCATGACTCTGAACAGTACTGCAAATACCATCAGTTCTACACGCACAAAACTGCAGACAGTTGAACCCTCTACATTTGAACAATGATGGTCACTAGATTAGAAACATACAGGAAACTACCTCTATGGGCAAAACAGGTCACTATTATTTCTCTCCTGACTATTACTTAAAAAATGGCTCTGTTAGAATTGCTACTCTCATCTGTGCCTGGAGGCTTTTACTATTGCTCTGCCACAGAGAAGGCAAGAAACTTCCAAAGAACCACATGGTTACTCCTGCCTTCCCTTACACACCAGACCTTCACCTGGATGGATGTTCTTTTTTCCTCTGGGAAAAGAAGGTGGAGGAAGCAAGTGCTTGTCTACTTCCTTTTTTGTGGCTCCAAGTTGAGCCTATGGGAAGAGCTGAGAATTTTAGGAATTCATGTTGAGTGGGGACTAAAATCAAGATCCCATTCAATTACCAACGTTTATTTTTTTCAGTGAGTAATGTTTTCAGACAGTGAAATGTGGAATGTGATACAGGATCAGGGGAGTGACCACATAAAGGCAGCGTAAGCCATGGAGACACTATTTGTGAGAAAGATACATGAAGCTGGAGGCACCGCATAAGCCAAATATCTGCAGGGGGTTACCTTGCACCTCCAGCGCATTTTCCCAATACATCAGGACTTCTCCCAGTTTCCCCACCACCACCATTCTCCCAGATGGGGTTCTGTCCTATAGCATCCCATAAACAGAAGGAATGACCAGATTTTCCATTTTAAAGAATGCGCTCTCTTTTCTCTTAATATTTGTCTGCCTCTGGTGATTTGGGAGAATAACGACCAGCCCCGGCTTGTCTGGAGGAGAGGCAACTCCATGTGAAAGCAAGATTTGAGACGGTCCTGTCCCAGCCTCGCCCCCCACCCTTTGACTGGAGGGGAACAGCCTCTTGGGGTTTCCCTCCTAGAAGACGTGTGTGGGAATTATATGGAATTTATATATAAAGTATGAAAATCATATGTATAAGCACTTTTGCCTTGATGGTTTGTTTATGGTTCATGATTGTAGTCAAGACAGAAACAGCAGCCAAGACAGAAAGAGTTTCTGTGTTTGTTCACCATGAGGATTTGTTCGTTATCCTTCAGAAGGTGAAACTGTTGAGAGTTGAACTTAATTAATGATTGTGCATGGAAACCCCAATATTGTTGTTAACAACCATTTTATCAATAAATATGAGAGATGCCTTCTCGGCACCACTCTTGTGCTGTCATGCCTTGAGTCCCCTGGCTGGTCCTTAGGTCTTCGAAGAACAATCATGTCTCTTCCCTCATCTGCAGGCCAGATACAGGGAAGGGACCCGACAGACGTGCTTTCCAGCTTCGTAACTGACCGCCCTGTGGGTGCAACAACTCACCTGTTCCCTGGACTACTGGAACTTTCTCCTCTCATGTCTGCCTGACCTTCCCACCCTGCCAGTCACTGCAGGGTGGACACAAACTGCTAAAAGCAGCTCTCGAGCCTCTTTGGAGTGTGGCTCCTGCCTTTCTGGCTGGTCTCATCTTTCCCAGCTTCTCCCTGCTGCCCACGTTCCAGTCGCGCTGCACTGCTGCTGTCCTGAGCACCTGCTCCCCGAGCTGGCAAATCTATAGCTCGGCTCCTACCCCTCCACTTCTGTCCGCACGCAGCCTCGGCCCTAACATTTGCAGGGCTGAGATTTGAGTACACATGGAAGCCTGCAGACTACGTGGTTCAATATTAAAAAGTGCTAAATCACACTAACAGGCTGTTGAAATGTGCCCTATCCTTCTGCCTTGTCAAATATGTCTTCATAACAACCAAATGAAAACATATGTGTAAATCTGATTTCTGGCAAAATATCAGAGACAACTGAATTTAATTACTATTGCATTATGTCTGGGTATTCTGTTACTGGGTTAGGATGTTTGGATAACTAGTAAAATAGAGATATGCATAATTCATAAATTATCATATACTTATTCCAGAATGATTTCCCTTACTTTCATTCAGCAAATTATTAAATATTTATAATAATAAAGGTTAAAAAAATAATTTATAATCTATGGACAGTAATGGTCTAAGAGATTAAAAATGAAATGTAATAGTACTCAAATTATACAAAATAACATTTTCATCAAAAGAACAATATATAGGAAATATAAAAAAATTTAAAGTATTTTTCACATTTTTAAAAGTTTTCAGTGGTCCCTATAAAATTAAGACAAAATCAAATTATAATTAATGAACACCCACATTTTAAATATGGATCCACAATTTAAATATTTTAAATCCACATATTTAAATAAGGCTGAAATATTTATTTTTTGAAAATATAATTACAGTTCAGCAAATATGAGTGTAACATATTCACAGGTCTAGCATTTAATATCCATTTATTGCCAATGTGAAGTATCAATGGCCTGTTTCATGAGCACGATGTCTACACCTATCTGAACACAAATCTGAGGCAAATATGAATTGTTTAATATTGCAAACATCACTCAGCTACCTCACACAACTATTTTAAATACACACTAACATGTGCATTCCTCCTGAACAACAAATTACAACCCAAGGAGAAAGCAGATGCTTGCCGCTCCTTCCTGGAAATGATACTTAATTATGCAATTTTGTATTCATGCACAGAAGAAAGGATTTGACAAGTCAATCTGTCTTTTCTCTTGCCTAAGTCTTTCTACCACACAAACCCTCCTCCACGCTTTGAAGCAATCAGCCCACTAACTTCCATGACATAGCCAGCCAGCTCCTGCCGCAGGGGCACAGGGCAAGCACTGTGAACTCCCCCTCCCTGGGCCACTCACCTCACACAGCGGATGCGCAGGCTTACAGGCTGAGCTCCGGGTCCTGAACGGCAGGCAGGATCTTCCTTCTTAAAAGATTTGTTTTGTATGCTTATGGTACAGGGTCCCTAACATGCACAGCCCAGAGATCCTCTTGCTCACATTAAAGGTGCCCCTGGGTGCATGGAAACGCCTGTGATTAGTGATGAATCACCCTACCCCCCCGTGCCCTGCCGGTGGAGACCTCCTCTGTGGAGGAGGACCCGTCCCTGCGACTTGTCCCCAAACCAAGGCCCAGCAGGTGGCTCTGAACTGACCTGTTTGTGTGTATGCCCCCACTCAACTGCAGTCTCCCTGAGTGGCAAGGTGTATGGGGAGGATAGGGGTACAGCTAGAGTTAGGGTCCGGGTTTAATGTGAGGGTGAGGGCGAGATTGAGGTCTAGGGTTATGGTGCCATGGAAGACCAGTTTACATTCCCACCTGCAGTCTCATGATGTGACTCTAACATTTTGACTAATCAAGAATATTTGCAGCAGAGAAAATGTTTTTCTCCCAATCGCATATATGTAGGTGGTAATGATATCAATACAACAATACAACAGAAAAAAACAGTTTATGTTACCTGCTTGCTTATACTTTCAATAAGGCATACTAATATATTAGAAAAGCTTATCTTAAACTCGTCCTTTTTTGACTTCATCTGCCTATTTTCATGCATAAATTTATCTGAGAGAAACTATACATTTTTTCCTCCTTTATTTCCCCACCCGTTCATAATATAAAAGGATACTTACTTCCCACAATAGTAACATCCTGCCCTTATTATTCCTCATAATAATGGCCTGCCCTATTGGACTCTGGACTACTTCCCGAAATTCATTTTTCTTATGTGCTAAACTTTAACTAGAAGGCTCAGGATAAAAGGCAAGACAGTGCCACTCAAGTAGCCACTCTGACAGGGTTTCTAATTGAACGAGGGGGTAACCATGACCTGCTGTGAAGGATGGACATCCTGCAATGGATTCAGCCTGCTGGTCCTACTTCTGTCGGGCATAATTCTCAATGCAATACCTCTGGTTGTCAACTCAATTGATGGAGATGAGTATTTCCAAAACCCCATCTCTTGTTTTCAGTGGTGGTTCCCAGGAATTATAGGAGCAGGTTTGATGGTGAGTAACATTTATGTGACTTAATTTGGAGAAAGGCCTGCCTGTTTTACCAAACTTCTAAAGACCATCTTTTAGCCTCACAGTGAGCTATGTCTTAGCAGGATACAGTGGGGGGCAGTGGTATGGTATTAATTTATGCTGGCACCAGTGAAGAATGACAATTTAAATAAACTGTGGTACACGCTAGGGGCAGAAATGATGAACTGATAAAATTGGCTCAGTTATTACCTTTCATATTTCTTCACATGTAAGGCTACTCTTCTAAGCTTTACAGTTAGTGTAAGAGGTTTCTGGAACTCATTTTCTTGAATATCCTTTGCCAATGCCAGTCTCCAAGTATTCATGGAGAATGCAGCAGGAGTCGGAAGTGCTCAGTAGGGATGGGAAGCGACATTCCATGCACGAAGGGTGTCCTGGATGATCATAATTGTGGGGGCAGAATCATGGCATCACCTGAACTGAAGGCAGTCAGCCTAAGAGATTTGGGACTTGAAACCCTGGTTCTGATCTCAAGAACTTTTTGACTCAGATCTTACAGACAACCCAGAACATGAAGGCACTTGTTTATGTTCAGTTTGATAATTATTAACAAGTCTGTCTTTGTTGAAGTCTGCTTCAGTGTAATACAGAACTCCCCAAAGAACCTGATCATAAATCATCTGAGGCATTTTTAATAGGCACAGATTTACAGACCTTTTCCTGGGAATTCTGATGCAGCTGCCTGGGCAGGACCTACTTGTGGAGAGGGATAAATATTGTTTTTGGACCTGGCAGAATCTCAGCTCTGGTTCTAATATATTACCCCTGGAAAATCATTTATTCTGTTATTTTTGTTTACTTGTTCATGAAGTGGGGCTACCGATACTAAAGTTTGAAAATTCAGCTTGCAAGAGGTTTGTTTTTGTTTGCTATACCACTTGGGTGCTTCCAAAGTGGGTTAGGTTAATGCCAGAGAAGCCTTTTTGTGTATGTGTGTGTGTGTAGTTCAACAATGATGAGTTACTACTGATAGTCTTACTCCGGACTTATATATGAAAACACTCTTGAGTCATTATATATATTAAACTTCAGATAAAAATTTGTTCTTCAGCTGGTATACTGGACTGGAGACCCTCTGGCATCAAAACGCCATTCGAGGAAGGATTCCCCAAATATGGATGGTTTCCTTTCCTTTAACTTCATGAGCAATCTATTCATCCTGCATTAGGTAGAAAGAGCTACTTTGTGTTTGTTTGTTTTTCACCCATTTCTTTTGTTGTTGTGATCTATTTTTTTTAAGCTGACATATAGTTGCTATACAACATTATATTGGTTTCAAGTATACAACATAGTGATTCAACAGTTATATACATCATTAGATCCTCACCCCAAGTAGTGTAGCTAATATCCATCACTATAGAAAGATGTTACAGAATTACTGACTATATTCTCTATGCTGTATTTCCATGGACATCCTGCAATGGATTCAGCCTGCTGGTCCTACTTCTGTCGGGCATAATTCTCAATGCAATACCTCTGGTTGTCAACTCAATTGATGGAGATGAGTATTTCCAAAACCCCATCTCTTGTTTTCAGTGGTGGTTCCCAGGAATTATAGGAGCAGGTTTGATGGTGAGTAACATTTATGTGACTTAATTTGGAGAAAGGCCTGCCTGTTTTACCAAACTTCTAAAGACCATCTTTTAGCCTCACAGTGAGCTATGTCTTAGCAGGATACAGTGGGGGGCAGTGGTATGGTATTAATTTATGCTGGCACCAGTGAAGAATGACAATTTAAATAAACTGTGGTACACGCTAGGGGCAGAAATGATGAACTGATAAAATTGGCTCAGTTATTACCTTTCATATTTCTTCACATGTAAGGCTACTCTTCTAAGCTTTACAGTTAGTGTAAGAGGTTTCTGGAACTCATTTTCTTGAATATCCTTTGCCAATGCCAGTCTCCAAGTATTCATGGAGAATGCAGCAGGAGTCGGAAGTGCTCAGTAGGGATGGGAAGCGACATTCCATGCACGAAGGGTGTCCTGGATGATCATAATTGTGGGGGCAGAATCATGGCATCACCTGAACTGAAGGCAGTCAGCCTAAGAGATTTGGGACTTGAAACCCTGGTTCTGATCTCAAGAACTTTTTGACTCAGATCTTACAGACAACCCAGAACATGAAGGCACTTGTTTATGTTCAGTTTGATAATTATTAACAAGTCTGTCTTTGTTGAAGTCTGCTTCAGTGTAATACAGAACTCCCCAAAGAACCTGATCATAAATCATCTGAGGCATTTTTAATAGGCACAGATTTACAGACCTTTTCCTGGGAATTCTGATGCAGCTGCCTGGGCAGGACCTACTTGTGGAGAGGGATAAATATTGTTTTTGGACCTGGCAGAATCTCAGCTCTGGTTCTAATATATTACCCCTGGAAAATCATTTATTCTGTTATTTTTGTTTACTTGTTCATGAAGTGGGGCTACCGATACTAAAGTTTGAAAATTCAGCTTGCAAGAGGTTTGTTTTTGTTTGCTATACCACTTGGGTGCTTCCAAAGTGGGTTAGGTTAATGCCAGAGAAGCCTTTTTGTGTATGTGTGTGTGTGTAGTTCAACAATGATGAGTTACTACTGATAGTCTTACTCCGGACTTATATATGAAAACACTCTTGAGTCATTATATATATTAAACTTCAGATAAAAATTTGTTCTTCAGCTGGTATACTGGACTGGAGACCCTCTGGCATCAAAACGCCATTCGAGGAAGGATTCCCCAAATATGGATGGTTTCCTTTCCTTTAACTTCATGAGCAATCTATTCATCCTGCATTAGGTAGAAAGAGCTACTTTGTGTTTGTTTGTTTTTCACCCATTTCTTTTGTTGTTGTGATCTATTTTTTTTAAGCTGACATATAGTTGCTATACAACATTATATTGGTTTCAAGTATACAACATAGTGATTCAACAGTTATATACATCATTAGATCCTCACCCCAAGTAGTGTAGCTAATATCCATCACTATAGAAAGATGTTACAGAATTACTGACTATATTCTCTATGCTGTATTTCCATCCCCATGACTAATTTACATTATGATTCAGATTTTGTGCCTCTTTATCCCCTTCACCTATTTTACCCACCCACCCCAAACACTCCCCCAGAAAGAGCTACCTGCAGGAAAAGCTTTTGGAAGGTTTTGGGCTCTTTTATAAACCACCACATAAGTCCTCTTCTAGCCTCTTTCTAGAGAAAGCACCGTGTTCAACAGAGTGATGCAACTGCAAAGTCGTGTGTGTTTTCTGCCTTTCTAGAGGCTTCTCTCTACTTGAATAGCATGAGATTCCTTGCATCTGCTTAGACCAGAAGTCAGGAGCAACTGGCCAAATCTAATCAATGATAGAAATTTCCATGAAGTTCTCAAAAGTTCCTAAATTAAAACAATCCTTTTAGAATAGCCCATGGCGCTTTATATATAAAGTGGCTCTACCACAAACTCCAACACAATTAAAAAAAATTCTTGCTAGGAATAATGAATGGTACCTGGGCTGGTGATGGTAATACCTGTATTCCATATATGCCTCTTTTGGCAGGGGAGGGGGATAAGACACAGAGAAAGACATAGAGATATTAGCACTATCTCAATTAATCTCTATAATAATCTGGCTGACCAGATATCATTTGTATTTTAACAGACCAGAAAACAGAAGGTTAGGGATGTTAACAAATCATACTGCAGGTATGAAACCCAGCTCTAGATTTATCTGACTCCAAAGCTCTCTTTTGCACCCATATTAGCACCATCCTTCTCAACATCTGTCTCAGGCTGACAAAAATATAATCCACAACTTATTCCATAAACTTAAGTGACCAGGTGACTGAAACACAGAAAGGTGATATAAATCTTGGGAACACTAAATTTACTTTATCATCTTTGATAAATATTAACGAAATGTCAGAATCACACCAGGCTACCTCTATTACTCAGTATTGTAGAATGTAATCAAAGAATCAAAGAACTCTTAGAAAATTTCAATAGGCACTTCATAGATTGAGCCTCAAACTAAACTCACAAACAAATCAGGTGGATGACAGAGGTGCTCAGAATACAGGTGTATTTTCATAGTCATTTTATTTTATATTAGACTAACTGTAAGCCTGACCTTAATCATGCTTAGTCATTGAATCCACTTATTACATCACGCAAATTCATCATTAAAGTCTTAGCAGAGGACACATTGTCAAATGTTAAACAAATGAGAAGATACTATGTATAACAAGAATTTTCAAAATACAGTGTTTATATTTACGATGGGTAATGGCTTTGCATTTACTCTCACGTCCAAGTACTTAGGGGAATCTCCAAATTTTGAATTCTATCAGAGTCTTAATGGATAAAAGTTCTTTTGTACTTCATGTGTAAAATCATGGATTTACATTAAAAGCTGGATAAATGTATGGGTTTCTGTACTACTACTCTTCTTGATAAAACCAAAAGACTATCAAACTTCTAATTTCACAAAAACTCATTCAAATGTGCTTAGGAATTGAAGAGAAAAAACATTCTCATGATTACACATTTGCAAAAAATTGTAAGACTTATAATCCAGTCACAGACAGTCAATGCATATTTTACAGTCCATCCTATAAAGAGCACCATCAGTTTTCAAAGCTCTGAATGGGCAAAATGGTTGAAATACAGTAAGTTAATCAAGTTATCCATAATGATGTAACGAAGATGTGTTGACATGCCATGAAGTCAGCTGCGTGGGATTCCTACACTATAAGCTATTGTTACTTTATAAAACCCCTTTGCAAGGAAAAGAATCATGAGAGTAAATATTCAGCATCTCTGAAATAAATTAACCCTCAAGAAAGTTAGCTGGATTTAATTTACACCAATAAAGAAAATGTAATGATTTATACATTTAAGTTGTAATTCAATGTTGCTCCAACTTTAACAGAGTCATTAATTTCCTCAATCAGAAGTTGGCTTTTTTTTTTTTTTTTCTGTAAAGAGAAGATAGCGTCTATTGTAGGCTTTGTGAGCCAGAAAGTCTCTCTCACAACTGTTCAACTCTGTGTTTGGTGGGTGTGAAAGCAGACATAGACAATATGTAAGTGAATGGGCATAGCTGTGTTCTAATAAAATATTATTTATAAAAAAAGAGGTGGCAGGCCACAGTAGACCAACTCCTGTTCTGATATACTCCTTAAGCTCAAAAGGCAGAAAACATAAAAAAAATAAGCTAAGTCTATGATACCTATTTGGGGACTAAAACTTATTTTCCCTTTTCTTTCGGGCTCTCAGCTGCCCCAGGCTGGCTGGGCTGTTATATATACATGTGACTTCTGAATTATAAGGGTGTTCAAGGCATTATGTAAGCAAAGTTTGATAACAATACAAAGTGCTTTCCATAAGTGATGTAGTCAGCACGTGGTAAGAGCGGGTGAAGTGCATCAGGAAAGATGCCTTCTAAGACCTGAGACCTGTTCTGAAAGAAGATAGGTAGCCGTGGTCTTGGAAAAAAGGCCCAGGGAAGCAACAGTTAGAAGGACAATGAGATGAGTGAGGGTGGTGGTGGTGGAGGGGGAGATGAGAATGAAGAAACCCAGTGTAGGAAGAAGAATTACAAGACTGGGCTAGTGAAGAAACGAGTGGTTAATTCTGACCCCAAATGTCCAGCTTTGCATCCCAACTCTTCCACTTTCTTGCGAAAGTTTTCTCATTAGCAAAATGGGGATAATAATAGCACCCATACCTCACAGGATAGTTATGAGGCTGGAATGAACTAAACCATGTATAGCACCTATTAGAGTGCCTGGCATCTGTCAGAACACAATAAAATGTTAGGAAACGAGGAAAAGGAAAGAGAGAAGTATTCAAGGCAGCAGCTATGCTGAGATGGCAGAAAAACCTATAGCTAAAATTTCTTAAGTGGGAGGAAGTAATGTACATTTTGCTCTTCCAGTAAGAATTTCTAGTCATAGCTGCTGACTAGGTCTTACTAAAAGTTTAAACCTAATTCCTAAGACTCTGGTGTCATTTCTTACAGGTTTCCTCAGCAATATGTATTTCCCTTGACATAGAATGCAATAGATACACGATTTCTGAACATAATGTGAAATGAGTTTATTATATACACATCATGGATACAGGAGCAGAAAGGAGGATGTGGAACCAAAAATAATGCTCAGATCGTAGGCTTGGGAACTAGCGAGATGGCTGTGACCCTGGGTGGGAGAGGGAAAGTAGGGAAGTGGGAGAGGGGTGGTGACAGAATTCTTAGTTTCCAACTGCTGGGCAAACAAAACCACCAACTTCCTTTCTGGACACTCGCTGGATGATTTAAATAGAATTTTTGGGAAATTGGGTAAGTGGCTGTAGATTATAGTAACTTAAAAAAAGTGAATTTTGGATGATGCAACCAATTATTTCAGAAACTTTCCTTTCAAAATAATGAATAACTCATCCTAATCTATTTAAAATCAAGTCCAAGAATGACTCTGAAAGTAAGAATGTAGACGGAAGAGTTTGAAACTGCTACCCTGAAATCCCTCATCCCCTCCCCTTTTTAATCTTTATGGTTCAAACAGTGATTACAAGGTTCACAAGATCAAGGATGTTGCCAAATTCCCTTCTGTCCTCTTGAGCCTTGATTTCCCACAACTGGTGGTAAATCGAAGGTAGAGATTATTACTTCTTTTATCTGATGAGAAGTAATAATACTCCTCTTTCCTGTTGATGTCATTTCCAGGCTATTCCAGCAACGACAATGTCCTTGGCAGCCAGAAAAAGAGCATGTTGTAACAGCAAAACCGGGGTGAGTATGTCCCGTGGGTCTGGGAGCAGAAGTGCAGAGACAGTTCCTGACAGGGAGGCAGAGCCACCCTGAGTCATCAGTAGCTACTCAATCACTGCGTGGTGCTGGCGGCAGACCACAGTCTTAGTAACATGCTGTTCAGAATGATTATTTGGTAGTATGGAAAGTGTGCTGGTTTTTCCCCCCCATAAACATACAGCTTTGGAGTCAGCCTTGAGATCTCTCCTCAAAGTTCAGTTTCACCAATCTAAAGGTTTTCAAAGGAGATTTATAAATCATGCTTAGAGCTGTAATCAATTTCATAATACTCAAGTGTTTGTTCTACCTTGTGGTGTATATACGGTACTTAGGGAAAATGTATCCTCAGTTCTCTCACACATACGAAAGATGGGTTTGCTAGAATCAGAATGGGAATTGCCGTCATCCAATTACGAGTTACTTTTTCAAAATTCAGTATGTGCCTATGTGTAAAACTGTTAGAATTGTTACAAATAAGGGAAATTTATTAACTTCCTGCCACTATGCTCAGAACACTTTCAACTATGCTATCTTAAATTCTCTCAAAAACCCCTAAGTGGGAAATACTAAAATCTGTTCTATTGATTGAGAAATTGATCCTCAGAGAAAGCAAATAACTTGCCAGTGTAGCACAGCTAGTAGGTGAATTTTTATCTAAATCCTTCAGACTCCAAAATTCAAAATCTTTACACTATTTATGCCATGAATAGTGCTATTAGGAACAGTGAGGGCTCTCAGAACTCTCTGTGGGAAAGGGGTAGACCATTAAACAAGCAGTCACAGTAAATATTCCTGGCTGAGCTTGAGGTTTTAAAGCAATGTTTCTTAGCCTGATGGGACTATTAGAATCACCTGAGAAGATTAAAAAAAAAAAGCCCACGAGCCTAGTTGCCCCCAGAAATTCTCATCGGTATTTTTTAAAAGCACCCTAAGTGGTGTGCTCCCAGGTGTGAGAACTACTGTTTAAAAGGTACATATTTATATCCATAACAGCAAACTTGCATCTTTTAAAATTACCTTTTTCTGACATTGATATTTATCTAGGATTATGACTCCTTTGCTATTATTTATAGCCTACCTTTGTTTCTGATACATTGTAGCTGCTTAATAAATATATGAGTTTTCAGTTTCCCCTCTGTCCCTTTTCTTTTTGCACTATAATTTGGAGTTTGACTTTGCACTACCTCTATATCGTATTCATTGTAGCCAGTCTTGAGAAAGACATCCTGAGATATTTCTGAATCCCCGAACTCAAAAATATCATGGATTTTTCTATGGCTTTTTCTCTCAACTTGTATTTCCACTAAGAGTTTTATTTCTGCACATTTCCTTTTCTGATAAATGAGCCATCTTTTCAATAATCATTTAAGTTTTCTCTCTCCTTTGGGGAAACAGCAAGTTGAGAATCACTAACCACTTTTTCATGCAGCTACTGGGCTCCCCCACACTCACCCTGAAAATACTTGGAGTTCAGGCTTCAGCAACATTATGGTTATTATATGCTGAGGGGTTGCAGGGGCTCCTGGGGTGCTGGGGGTCGGGGGAATTGGGGGAAAGGTAGGATGCGGCAGGGGGACTGGGCGGGCAGTGCACAGTCCGCCTCATGCTCTATTTCTAAGAGGAGCTGGCTGTGTTTATCGAAATCACCGGTTTGTACCGATTAGATGCAATGAAGAGTCCCCAGCCACTTTTCTCACTTGGTAGCAGCCAGGTTAAGTCATTCCTTGTACCTTCCAAGTCTAGATAAGACCAGAGTGTCAAGAAAGTGACAATGTCTCCACCTTGGGTGGGGGTCCCCCTTTCTAACTGTCCCGCTAACCCCTACTTTACCTGTCCCTTGTTTTTCTTCCCTCTGTCCAATTCTTGATTTTGTTTCTGAATAATTTGGCTTTGCTGAGTCATTTAAATGAACCCCCCTTTTCTAAGGGTAATTCAGATCCCTGGAGTCACTTTTAAAGCCAGGCTCCTCAGTGGTGAGGAGACAGGAATAGTAGATGATCAACATTATCAACTTAGTGGCACTTCTGGTGAGCAGACTTAAGTAACTCACACAGGTAACAGCAGTGTGGAAGACTTGAATTAGACTCCAAATCCATCATTCTGTGCTTTCAGCTGGAAGAATTCTGCTGTAGTGATTAAAACCTGAGCAGCAGCATTTACCAGCCGTGAGATCCTGACAAGTGTGTCAGCCTTCCTGTATTGCAGTTTCCTCATCCATAAGATGGGAACAATAGTTCTTTCAGCTACTGAAAAGATTAGGGAAGATAATGTATGCAAAGCCCAATGTCCCTTGACACACACTATCATAGGTAGACACGTATCCTGCCCTTCCTTAAAGGCAGGTCTCAAGAACACAACACACAAACGAGAAAAGGAGAAGCACCCCTTCCCTTAATTCCTGCAGATTTTAAGTAATTATTACTAACACCTTTGCCAAAATAACACGGAGCTTCTTTCTGGAAAACATACACATACACCAACTTTCATTTGGGCCACATTTCCTACTGCCAAATTCCACATTTTTCTGCTTTCTGTGGCTCTGATTTATGTAATGAAAGACAAGGTGCTTACACTCTTTCTCTCTAACAGTGGCTCTCAATCGGGAGCAATTTTGCAAGTTTGGAGACAGTTTTTGTTGTCACAACTGGTGGAGAGGGAGGGTCCTACTGGCAGCTAGTGGGGAGAGACTAGGGACACTGCTGAACATCCCATAGAGCACAGGACAGGCCCCCAAGCAAAATGCCCAAATGTAAGTAGTTGAGAAACCCTGTTCTAACACTGTGCTGTTGACTGGCTGCTGCAGAATGCTGACCACTGGCCACTTAGTGTCAAGGCCAATTCCAGATGAAGGATTTGAGAGTTTAGGAACCAGACATCAAAGTGTGGTGGTTAACATCTAGTCAAGGGTCTATGATGTCAGAAGTACACAGAACAGGAGGGAACCAGAACTCAGTGGTCAGTTGAAATGGACAAAGCCCCAGGTATATAAAAGTTCAGATTTCTCAGAGAGACTGGCAAGCCCAACAGACTTTTAGTGACTCTAGTCAAATGGCGTTTTGCCCTCTGCCTTCTTTTATAACTGATATCTAGTCAACCTGTGATCGTAAGTTCTAGGACTATAGGGTGACTGCCCAATGGAAGCAGTCGATTAAAAAGACAGCATGTGCTCTGGAAACTTGAAACAGACCAAGAACATATAATAAAGTGCAAATGTGTCTGCTTTGTTTTTCAGATGTTCCTTTCATCAGTTCTGAATGTAATCACAGTCATTGGTGCAGTATATTGCATGTTGGTATCTATCCAGGCTCTCTCGGAAGGTCCTCTCATTTGTAACTCTCAAGGCAACAGTACTTACAGTTGTGAATTTTCATTAAAAAACTTAAGGTGAGTAACCTGATTTTCAGTAATTGTCTTCCAGTCTTACACAGCTGCAGCTATACATCAGAACAGTGTGGTGTTGATACAGTGCCATACTTTTCTTCAAGGAAACTACTGGGACAGATTCTTAGGGATTCAGCACTTTCATCCTAATTAACACAATCGCATACAAATGGAGATTTCACTACATCTAGAATGCGTTGGGCACAGTCTTGTCTAAAAAAAAAAATTTTGCAAGTTTGGAGATAGTTTTTGTTGTCACAACTGGTGGGGAGGGAGGGTCCTACTGGCAGCTAGTGGGGAGAGACTAGGGACACTGCTGAACATCCCATAGAGCACAGGACAGGCCCCCAAGCAAAACGCCCAAATGCAAGTAGTTTGACTTACATGGCTTAAATGTAAGTCTGACTTAGATGGCTTATTCTTGTATTTTAAAACTCAATGGCTGCATGTGTATGTGTATAACAAAATTTCTGGAAATATACAGCAGAAACTTAGCTTTCACCCTTGGAGAATAGTTAATGGACGATGCCGTGGGAGAATGAAAGGCACACTGACCTTTTACACTTATGAACTAGTTAAATTTGTAAGCCCTAAGCATATTTTACCTTTATAATTTAAAATATTGAGTAAAAATGTGATAAAATCTAGATCCTTACTGTAAGCCCTAAAAGAAACAAATCAGTCAATGGATTCATTCAGCATACTATAAATTTCCTGTAGGCATGGGAATGAATCAAAAGTTTAAGTCATGCAGTGACATATCATAGTGAAGGGTTTTATGTAAATGGTTTATTTCAGTCTTGTAAGAAGGTTCTGCACCTGCAAGTAGGCACAATTTATAAAACTGGGGGAAAAAAAAGAACAATCTAACTTATTAATTATCTATATGTTGCTCAGTTGTGGAAAATAATCAGAATTCACTTTTGTAGTTACATGAAAAAAGTGTTTTTCCATTTTCCCTTATCTTGCTGCCTTAAAAAATAAAAAAAAATCTCTTAAAATTTGCACAAGGCAGTCGTTAATCAAAATCCGAAGGAATTCCCTTTACTAATAGATGTGAAGCATAACATTAGAGATTTCAACCACAGATGCTACACACATTTAGTCCTTAGCAGATGACCACTCACCGTGTACCAGGCAGCTAGCTAAGCTTTGGAGGTAACAGCATTCAAGGCCATCCCACTCCAGCTAGGGAGACAGATGGTAACAGAGTAAGCAAGAGTGAGCCTACATTTGCTGAAAACAGACTCATAACCAGAAATGCAAATTCCTTTAAGAACAGTCTGACTGTAATAAACCAAAGAAATCATCTTGGGATAGATGTTAGAGCTTAAAGTTTCTCACTTCCATACCTTGTTACAAGAGCCACAGACCGCTTTAATCAGACATATCTAATGTGTCTTGCGGGTAAAAAATTGGACATTTGGTTTAAAAGCAGATGCAACACCAGAGTTTTGCACTAAGAATTGAGTTTCTTGAAAGGGGGGCTTCTTTATTTACAGATCTTTAGCAAGAGCGCCTCCGTAAGTAGATTGAACCACATGAAACTGTTGATACTCAACCATTTCTGACAAAATTTCCTATGGTTCAAGCTAAGAGTAGGTCTGATAGAAATGCTGGCTGAGTGATGTGATACATAATGAATAAACATTTTACAGCTATTAGAGTACATGGACTAACATCATGAAACCCTGATTTTAGCTATAGTTTTTGGCACAGTACCTCAAAAGTACTTTGTTTTACCATACTTGTCGTTTTGTGTGCACAATGCTGTACTCTTGATGGTCAGTGATATTCCTGGATATCTTACTTTTATTTCTTTCACTTTTCAGTAACAATCATCCAGAATCCTTCAATCTGCAGTGGTTCTTCAATGACTCTTGTATGTCTCCCACTGATTACAATAATCCCACCATCAATGACACCATGGCCAGTGATGGGAGAAAATCTAAATTACACTTCAGTTCTGAAGAAAACAAATATAGGACCATCCATTTCTCAGTGTTTTTAGGTTTACTGCTCGTGGGAATTCTTGAACTCCTGTTTGGGCTCAGTCAGATAGCCATTGGTTTTCTTGGCTGTCTGTGTGGAGTCTCTAAGCGAAGAAGTCGAATTGTGTAGCATAATGGTAATAAAATAGAAATACTAGCAGTTGAATCATTTGAGAAGTACATTTTAAGACACTCTTAGAAGCTAAAAGCTCAGTAAGGGAACATTATCTCGAAAACTGTATGAGTCACTTTAGTACAAAAGGTTGTTTTTAAAGTTACCTTTGAGGTGATTAAAAAAAACTCAACCTTTCATATATAAAGTGTGTCGGTAAAGGTGTAAGTAACACTTTCACATGGAAAGGAAAATCATCAGTGGTTGACTTTGGGGAGAGGTGGAGAGCTTTCAATTTGTTTTGTGCCCTTCTGCACTTCCTGTACTACTGAATGTTGAATGTTCTAGCTCTGCATTTCTGTGTGTGCAGAGAGGGAGGGGAAAAGGAAGGGAGAGAAGGGAAGGCAGGAGGGCAAAAAGGAACAGAAGTTACTCTGGAACTGAAAGTCTGGGACCTTTTTATTGTATATGTTTATACTTGAAAAAAAAAAGAAAAGAATATATAACCTGAATGTAATCAAGTTTTTGGACCGAATTTCCAGTTTACAGGTAATCTGAGGGAAGAGGAGATACTCAAAACTCCAAAAGGCGGGGACAGTAAGCAGACAGTAACCCCATTTTCAAGAACATGTGTAGGAAAAATAAAAGGTGGGATGGGTTGAGGGAACTATTCTAGATGGAGAACAAAGAAACCCAATTCAACTAAATGTATCATGTGGCCCATGTTTCCCTGGTAACTAGGGAAACCAGCGCCAGGATTGGCTTAGGTGACATTTAGGAATTACTCTTAATATTTCTAGGCCTGATAATGGTTTTATGATTATACAGGAAAATGCCCTTATTTTTGAATTTTATGTGTTTGAGGGAAAACATCATGTTTTTAAAATACTTCAACCAAGAAAATGAAGCAATGGAAAAAAGTTGTATTTAGTTATTTAATTGACAGGTATGGGGCAAGTCATTATCATACTCTTCTATTTTTTTACATTTGCATTTTTCACAATCACTGAAAAAAATAAATACCTAGAAAAAAACCAGTCTTTCAAAAGCTGATTCTATATGTGCCTATCTTCAAAAGACAGGATAACAAAGCAGTGTACTTATCATATTGAAGAGCTATAAAACAGAACAACAAATCTATATTTTCTGGATGTGATCATTCCTGCTTATTTAAATTACTTAATTCTCACTGGGCTTAACATTCTAGAAAGAATTTACAATACCTGTATTATAACTGCCCCCCTCCAAATTAGTAACATCAAGAACACAGAAATTTTTCTCTGAACCCATTTCCTATATAACGACCTTCTTTTTATGCTCTTATAAATAAATACCAATTTATCCTTAAGGTCTAGCCGAAATACCTACTTGAGAAAGCCTTCCCAGAGTGTATGATTCCAACTAAAATTGGTACCCAATCACTATTATTGTACCTGTTGTGTATGCCCGTCTCTCTAAGAGAATTTAAGAGAACAGGGACCGTGTCTTCCTCACACATTTGTCAGCTCTTCCCCGACTCAGGTGCTCAGCAGGCCTCTCCTCGGCCCTGCGACCCCCACTTATCTCTAGCAAAGTCCTCTTCACCTGTCAGCACGAGAATGTCCTCTGAGGCCTCCCCTAATGAAAAGCAGATTTCCCTTTACTCTCTCGCTCAGCGTTCTTTCACTTACAGCGCTCATCTCAATGGCAATAGCATTTTCTGTGCTGCTTCCTTACTTTCACTCTCCCCCATAAGACCCTAAGCTCCATGGGTACAGGGATGTGTTTTAGTCACTCCGGGCATACTCAGTACCAAGTTCAGCGTCTGATACAAAGCAGTTAAGAAATTATACATATTTTGTTGAATGAATTGATGAATCCTATCTTTAGTACTTAGCTTTTTGTGCCAAAGTAATAAGCATTGAAGACTCAATACTTACCATATAAATATCAAATTGTTAATAGGCATAAAATTAAAACATGAAATGAACATGACAGCTCCCTGTACTTGACTGAACAACGTAAGAGTCAGTGATGGTGCACACAATCCTCTCAGCACCCCGGAACTGGGTGAAAGATGACCCAGTTTTCTACAGGGTCACATAGAGATAAGCCTCCCATTTCGGAGAGCAAAAGAAAGGACAGTTGGCAGTAGCTGAAATAGCTGGTAAGTTATTTTCTTCACTATTTTAGTCTTGTGGAAATGAATTATGGATTCTGCCATGAATTAAATGCCTAAAGCCTAAGGGCCCATTTGTGGTTAGGTACCTTTTGGGACATGGCGATCTCAGCTCTGGTACCTAAACTCACAAATGTTTATCTGCACACACACGCACACAAAGGCACCTAGTCATTACAATGCTCATTGTTTTTTATATCACTTCTATCCCCATGTTGAATCTCACAGTGGAATCTTTACACTTATTTTCTTTACCCTCTGTACTCACCCTCACCCTCACTCTCTCTTCACCCTATCCTTCAGCATATATGTCAAGTTCCTTCTTCTCAAAAAACTTGTTTTTGTATCCTAATTCTTTAATAAGCCTACCCCCCTCCTTCTCTGCTAATCTGTGAATCTCTTAAGGGCAGGGCTTGCAGCACACCTGCTGTAACCACTTAATTCCTGAGGTCAGTGCCGTGCACACACGAGACTACTTACTAACATGATAATACATTGTAAGTAAAACAACAGCCATGGTAAATTAAACCTTGCCAAACTCGAGGCTCAGAAAAACAGTTCAGTTTTAATGTCAAATATAATTAAGCTGGAAAACAGACATTCACGCAGGAAACGGAAAGGTCTCTTGCACATATACTTTGATAAAATTGTCCCTTAGAGTGTAAATAACCTACAAATGATTAAAAAAAATTCCTACTGGGAATGGAGAAAGAAACTTTAAGAGTTCTCAAAGTAGTGTAACAACTTACTGACCATACTTAATTGTATGACACTGGTGTGTTGAGTCGATCACTGCATCACTGGCCTGACTGTCCTTTTCTACCACTGTTCTCTGCACTTGGAAGCTTTTCTTCATTCTCTGCTTGTTGAAATGTGACACATGTATTTTAAGGTTCAGATCAAATATCTCTGTTAAAACATATTCCAGGCCACCCTGACTAGGAGTGAGTTTGCCCCTTGACTCCACAACCACTTTACAGTGATGAACAACTTCTAGGTGAGGAAGGCTGGCGCGACAGAGCTTGGCTTTGGAGTGAGAGAGATTCAAGTTCTTCTGGTTTTTAGATCTGTGACAAGGTGAGGACAGATTTCTTTGTTGTCGCCCTTGGATGGCAAGTTGATGTCTCATTTACCCTTTCACTGGAATAGTCGTCATGACTAGTACTGCCCAAGACATGGAATTATATCTCCTGATCCTTGCACAGTCATTAAGGGAGAAAGTTCTAGGTGTCCAGTGTTTGGCAAAAATCAACAGGCAGAAAATAGCTTTTGTGTTTGCTTATCTCCTGGAATTCCTGTTTTTATTTCATATTTCGCCTTTTTGGAATTCTTTTCATGTTTTCCCAGCAAAAGAGGCACTGATTTTACCCATTTTTATAATTTTGTGGTTTTAGTTGGATCACTCACAGAAATTACCTTATGATATGTATATAAAGCCAGAATTAATTAATTAATCATATCATTAGGATATTATAAAAGTCAGAAGACTTCTACAGGTTAAAAAAAAAAATTCTCATCATACTCATGGGAGGAACCCCAGGAAAGAAAGAGAAGAATACTTCCTCGATAGGGAAAAAGCAAGAATAAAAATATTCAATCTACCAATGTTTAAGGAATTTCCTTCAACTACCTTTCCCAAAACTTACTGCCTTGGTAGAAAGATATCGAGGATGTGTGGAGAATACTGCACATCTAATTAAAATTCTGTTTCGGAACCAAAAAAATAAAAGGGAAAAAAAGGTTGAGAACTAAAGGCTTAGTTCTCCTAAGACTTGGTTTCATTGACACCATTTAATTCTCATGAGATTTATTTTCACTCAACACCATGGAAAAAGCACAAAATATTTTCACCTGAACCATTTTATAGCCACTACAAATCAGAAAATTACCTGCACTGCAACCAGTGTCTACCACGACCAGGATGAAGATCTGAAAGGAAGCACGGGCGGCTCTGCGACCTGCCGCTCGTTAACTGCATCGCTTGCCCCTGAGACAGAAGGCTCAGGCCCATCTGAGTTGGTACGATACAGACACAATGATGGAATAAAATCTTTCAGCAGATAAATATTGCTTTGGTTGATAGTTTATTAAATACACTGCATTTGTACCTTATTCTGTAGTTTTTTAAATCATTCACACATGGACTTAGTAAAAACATACTTAATAGAAAACTATCCGCAAAACTAAAATTAAAAACACACACATTTTACACACATAAACAGCTCAAAATGTTAGGAATTATTTCATGAAGGTGGAGTATGAAACATGAGGTGGCTTGATTTTATTAAATCTGACACCAGATCATGACTTCAGAAGTGTTAATGTTGAAATGCGGATGCAAAAATGCCTATTAACAAAACTGTTTAATAGTGTTTGAGAAACAGGACACAATAACATATTATTTTGCTTTTACAGATAATTTTCTAAATCCATTCTCTAGCGCACACTCTCATTCAGAGAATTAGCTGTGCAGACTGATGAGGCAAAAAATTAAATTCTTTAAAAAAACAAACTAGAGCCTATTTACAAAACATGCAAAAGGAGAATTTTAAGTAGGTGTTACTGCAGAACTGGTTAAAAGTGAATACAGCTGAATGACAGAATATACCTTTTCTTCTCCAAATACCAGTCCTGCCCCCCACCTTTCTGGAAGAAATACATTTTCAGGGCATGGACTGCCAAATGATATACAATGCAAAGACAGAAACAAAAAAGTTTGCAAATTCTTTATATTTTCAGTGGTTGAGACAGTATTTTGAGAGCTGAGGTTACCTCTAGCGGCGAAACCAGAGCCAGCTATTAAGCAGCCAGAATGCTACAGTAATTGAGTACATGACCATTTCTCTCTTAGCACGTTCTTTGTTCTCCTCTTCTAGAAGTTGTAGACGTCTATTTAGTTTGATTATCTAAGTGAAAAACAAACAACAGTAAAACAGAACAGAATATTTAATGCATGGAGCAATCAGATTCTTATAAAGTAGTATAATTTGTAAGGAAAATTATTACAAACATGTCACGTTTCATTGGGAGCAAAATAAAACTCTATTTGGAAAAAAAATGTTACCCCTGACTGCTTAAATTCACTTAGGTACTCTTGTCCCTTTCCCTTCTCCAAATATCTGAGTTAGAAAGGGTATATTTTCCTTCCTTGATTAGATAGAAGAGGAAACTGTTGCATATTGCTGTTCTGGTAGAAAACATGAAGTATGGATTGAGACAGGCTTAGCACAGCAGAAAGATGAGGGACTCCTGCCCCTTTCATGAGCTTCTGTCATTCAGCCTCAGTTGTTCCTCTTTAACCTGTTTTAACTGCCTTCTCATCCACCTCTCTGAGTTCCTGAGAGCCTCCTGCAGAAAAACCTCCTGTAGTGGGTCCTGTGATCTGCCACCAGACCCTCAAGGACTGAAGGGCTAATAATGCCCAGCTGCCAGGCTGGCTGACAGCGCCTCCTTGGCTGTCGATCCTTATTGTGAACAGCCCAGGGCTGAACGACTGCCTTGCCCAAGCTCATGCTCCTTTACTGGGGCAGCCTGCAACCAACTGGTCGGTGATGGGGTTCAAGGCCCAGGTCTCTTGTTCTGACTCTGAAGGGTCACCCCAGCCTGAGAGCTCCTTGTGGGGTGGGCAATATACAGCCTTTGTTTTGACTACACTGAAGCTCAACATTTTCCTCTTGCCCAGTCCTGCTTCCTTTCCTTTCCCTATGGGTGTCAATCTCAGATGCACCCCTCCATAGACTTTCTACATGCAAATCTTCACCCTAGAATCTGCCTTCCAGGGAATTCAACCTGTAACATCTATGTAAAAATCCTATGAACCCTTTGAAGCACCCATACAAGCAATTTACGGTCTGCTCTCCTGCTTTGCTAAAATGTCAAAGTTCTTTGTTACTGGCCAGAATTACATCAAGCCATCTTGGCAATACTATTTTATGGTGGTCAAAACTTGTAAACAGTGGTTTAATATATCTTTAACCAAAATGGGAAAACCAATTATGGCTTAATACATACTTTGGTGATATCTCAATTCATGGGTTACACAGGAGAGAAAAATAATAAAATGTTAGGGACTATCATTTAAAAATATTATATGAACATAATTTAAGATGATCTCATTTGGTACATTAGATACCTGTCGTCTTAACGAAGCT